GTGGAAACGTTTGCGTAGATAGCATTACCGGCAAAGACGAGGAAGCCCGAAATGGCCACTTCTGGCTTATTAGCCGTCGTCAGCCAGTCGTACCCAACCCCAGGGGGTGTACCACCCGAAGATCGCAATCGCGATCTTTTCGGTCATAGTCAAACGCTCTAACCACTGAGGTACGAGCTCGTTGTCTTGCCAATTTAGGTCCTGAGATATTGAATTTCGTTGATAAACGTTCATCGACCGCTAACGGAACTCACTTATCCCGCTCTGCCTTGGGTCTCATTTCTCGGGCCCTGATAGCAACTGTGCCTTGGGTCTCATTTCTCGGGCCCTGATAGCAACTGTGCCTTGGGTCTCATTTCTAGGGCCCTGATAGCAACTGTGGCGTCTAGTAGTCTAGACAGATAGCGTTGCTTTCAAGGACAAAGGAGACTGGAATGGCCGATATATTGATGTACCTGAACTATCTTGAGACCAATCTGAAAGATAACATCAAAATAGAGAGGTCATTCAAGCGTACTTTTTTTAAGAAAACGAGCTCTATTATCAAGAAGTTAGGAGAAAGGATATTTTTAATCATATTAGCCACAAAATATATTGTAACGTGGAGAGGCACCTAAAATCTATATGACAAATTCTCGAAATACAGGTAAGCAGAATATGTTACACCTGGCTTAAACATGAAATACATATTATTGAATGTGTGATCAATACAAATGGACAACGCAGGGCAAACCAATGCTTTATTTATTTCCAGGTGCACAATTGTATGTGCATAGTATGTATGCATAGTGCCGTACATAGAACCCATAATGAGTCCATCTGCCATCGTGTCTAGCATGGTTTCTAAAGGGGGTATGTGTCGGGGAAACCGAGACCAGTTTGCTAGGTCGGCTTCAATCCTGCATGCAGTAAGACACAGCAGCTACCAGGTCCCTGCTCAAGGCTGGTTAATCCGAAAAGTTGGACTGTTCTCCTTGATTTGTAACCCTAGCATTCTCTTTAGGAGACTTCTAAAAAAGATAGCAAGTGCACCCGTGGAATGCATTTTAACCATGTTGCCGTTCCACTGTTTAGCTCTAGGATATTCCGTCCGATATAAACAGGACTTTTAATAAATGCTGATGTTTCTTAGGCGACACCGACATGGACAAAATATTTCCCGTTGAGTTCAGCGATCCACTCGACTGGTTGCCAGTGGTTGGTGGCGACCAGCCCGCCGCCAGCAATCCGACGTGTCTATGTGGCGAATTGGGTGAGTTTCTTTGGTTAAATCGACGGCATCTGCTGTATATATAAGCATTAGTATATATATATCAATATAAACTGAGGACGTTTAGTAAAATCTATATTTTAAATGGTATCACTCGGTCTTAATAAAATGAGTCTAAATTAGTTCCACCTACGATATGTATGTCGCCACCTCCAGTTGTTTTTATAGTATCCGTAAATAGGCAGTATGCCTTGTCGCATGGGGCCGAATACTTCCTGTGGCTTGTCTCACGGGACTTAGTAAACTAATTACCAACATGCGTTGGTAGCATAAAGTGTGGTTAGCGCGCAGAAGGGGCCCACTGTACTCAACCGCTGTTGTAAGCGATGGTATATTCTGGCTTAAAACCTGAGCTGTAACTCAGAAGAAGTGTTTTCGCGTGTGATGATGCTCACGTTTTAATGGGTCAGCATTATGTTGACAGGATGACCAACCTACTGTTCTCAGTGGCACTCGTTTCTGAGTGGGAGATCACATGTGTACAAATAGAAATAGAAGTGAAATAACGTAAAAATGTCATCTGCTCACCCTCGGAGATTTTCACTTTGAAGGTGATTAGCTTTTTTATTTGCTTACATAAAACACACAGGTGAGGGTTGGTTGTTTTCTATGCGTCTAAGACTACACCTCTAGGCATTCCATGTGCACCCAGTAACTGTATTTGCATAAATGCTGATGTTTCTTAGATAACACGGAAATGGGTAAAGTGTTTCCAGTAGGGTTCAGCGATCCACTCGAATGGTTGCTAGCGTGTGGCGACCAACTCGTTGCCGGCACTGAGACACGTCGCTCTGGCGAATTTGGTGAGTTTCATTGGTTAAATTTACCTTTTGGGACATATTCAGTGCGCGCTATTGATAGGATCCTCCCAGAGTCTCATCAAAGTAGTCTGAGTCGGTTCAGGTTTATTAAGGTAGATATAGGCAAGTTCCTTTGAACTCCCTATTGGTGCGCAGCAGCTAAGAAATGCATTAGTACAACAAAACATTTCAAAAGACGTTGTTTACATAATTGCAGACAAAAATCGAGTAAACTCCGGATTGTTCGTGAAGTACACATCCATGGTTACTTACTCCTTCTAAGTAACATAATCACATATTTAAGTATTACCTTTGTACCTGCTTATCGGCGATGCCAATTAATACGAGCCAGTAAGTGGAACTGAGCGAATAGAACAGATAGTAAAAAACAGTTGATACAGCAGACAGCGAAAAAAACTCCTTAGACACTGTTCGGAATCGTCCTAGATGCCTTTGAGAGATTTCGATATTTCTCATCCTGAGAAGAAGAAGACGCGATCGCTGGGACAATATGCTTATTCGCCTAGGCGAGTAAACATATTGTCCCAGCGATCGAGTCTTCTTCGTCTCAATTGCTTCCTGGGACACGGATGATCGCTTGTATTGACAAATTTCTCATCCTATAATGGCACGTTTTACCTGTGTTTAGTGAATAATGCCCACGTTTCAATGAGCCTGAGCTCTGTGGACAGGATGAACAACCTGCAGTTCTCAGTGGCACTGTTCCCCAAGTGTGCGTTCACATGCCTGCAACGGGGAGTTATACGTATAGCAATGGCATGTTTTCACCCACTTTGGTTTTTTCACTCCATCACCAGAGGTGTTTAAGTTTCTCTCTGATGAACAGCACACGAATAAATGGATATCTTCTTTGGTTATGTAAAACTAGACCATTAGGAATTCCGTGTACAGCCAATAAATCTATTTGACTCCCCTTGTGACGTAGACTGTGGTCCGCATCGTACTGACCACCCTAATCTCTTTTGCAGACCCGTTTGCTCAGGAACCATGTGACCCAACGAACATGCTCGTTAGGATAGCTTCCGGGACGCCTCCAATACCTCCTCTAGATTATGAATCGCAAACCATAGAGGAGACAGATCAGTCAAGAAGTTAGTGAACAATTCATCTGGCTTGCAAAAACCAAGTATATTAAATGTTCTCACTGTTTCGCTTAAAATATTTTCTTGCTTCCCCATAGGACGGTCACGAAAACACAGAAGGCGGCTACAGCGGTTTTTCCGTAGACTGTTTTGTTGCTGTTTGTAATTAGGCATCCTTTAGTTTCCCCTGTTTCTTGCCTTAATTTTCATTGTACATATTTGTATCGATGCATATATATATTAATGTAAATTAACGGTGTTAAATAAAAGTTATGTTTGAACTGTTAAACCACAAGCTTCTTCAAGTGTATCCGCAGCTGTTACATAAGGGATGGAACATTCTGTGGTAACCGTAATAAGGGACTCGTGTCATGAGAAGCTTAGGAAAGATATCGAAAATGGATGTGGAGAGAGTAGAATTTGATTTCTTTATTTTATTGCTAATTGGCGTAAAGCGGTAGATCGAAAGGTCCAGATTATGTCGACAGCCGACTTCCTGAGAGCAGGTGCAGGCCTCAGGTACTGTGATGACTTGGACGTGAAGGTTTGATTGAGGATAAGTGGCCCGATATTCCAAGAGAATACAATACCATATATCACTAGGAGTAGTAAGTCTCTTGATGATCGTTGAGGGTACATCAGACGATGAATTTGTCCAAAATTGCGGCGGATTTATAAGCCATATTTACTTGGCGTTAAACGTGATTAAAGGGGATCGATGTCTTCTGCCTACTGAAATTGAGTAGTGCCTTTAAGTAGTCTCTTCTTTGGTTATGGGAATTACCGGTTGGGACAAGAACCAGTTTCCGTGGGTTCTAGGTGGAAATTCAGGGTTGTGTTTGGATGACTTGCCAAATGCCACAAGCCCTAAACATACGCAGACCATGTGATTAACCACGAAAATATGCCCATCAGGTTCTGGGTGATGGCTGTTATTACCGCTGGGGCCAATAATCCACTTGCTAATATCAGTGATGCCAAACGGTTGTATATGTGTCCCAAAAAATGGACGACGGACGAATTACCCTCTGTTTCGCATTCTCCCATGTTGAGTTTATCATGAATGTTATACGCGAAAATACTTCTTTGCACTTACAACACACAATGTCTCGTAGAACAGCGGTTGAGTTCAAGCGTAAGACTTTCTTGTGAGACCGCATAATGGCAGAGGTTCGCCCGACCAGATTGCTTGCGAAATTCGTGATTAAAGAAGAATTAAATTGTGGGCCAAACGAAGGTGCCTGTACGTACGTGATAACTGCGCAATAAGGAAGATAAGAAATCCGATTTCAATTGATTTACCAAACTGAAAATGTAGGTTAATAGGTTGCGGGGAGAGTAGAAAAAAGTGGTAATGAAGTATATATACCCGGGGTCGGCAACCCATGTCTCGCGAGCCATATATGGCTCTTTTGATGATCGCGTATGGCTCTTTCAGAA